AAAGAAATGACCTGCACTTTAAAGGGGGTAGAAAGAGATTTAGGCACGTAGCTTAGCGCTTAGCCAAAGCAAGGGCAAGAAGCAAAGTAGTTTTGAGGGAGAGCTCCCTCATAGCAACAGATGCCAAGGGCTCGAAAGGGGGGTAAAGAGAGAGCTTTCAGAACCAGTGCTAGGTCCCATGGCAGCACTAATGGTGGGCATGGGGGAAGTAATATACTTGCTCCCCTGAGAAATCTGACCACCAGCATGTGCCGCCCAATCGATTGCGAATCAATAGCGGCCACGTAAACCTTTAGCATTGATGGTAGACTCGCGTTATCTAGCCTGTGCTGCAGAAAACATAAAACGTCCAACATGGGACAGCTTGACGGGTCGATATCTCAATCTCAAGATTCAGTGAGCGTGTCAAGCACCCGAAGAAGCCACACATGAAGGCTTCACAGCTCCGGGCTCAGGTGTCATATCGAGCCGTTCGCTTGAGACAGCAGGTCCCTCCTGCGGGGGATTTGCCAAGGTGGAGCCACCAGCATCTCCCTGAGGTCCGGAAACCAAGGTTGATTCGGCCAGTTCGGATGGATCACTGAAACAGGATCACTGATGCTCTCTCTTCCCTGATTTTGCATAGCACCAGAGGCAAAATCTTCACCGGAGGGAACGCATTAAGTCTGGCTCTCGATAAGCGTGACGTAAGAGTGTCTCCCATCAGCGGGGAGTGAGACAGCAAAAAGAACAGCAGTCAGTGTGTGTTCAAGCTTGTCTCGAATAGATCCACCTCTGCCCTCCAGAAGTGATCCCAAATCATCCGAACCAGACTAGGAGGCAGCCTCCTCTCCCCATGAGGCATTCGGTTCCTCGAAAGCATGTCCGCTCCGTGGTTTAGGAGACCGGGGATATGCCCCGCTCTGATGGAGAGTAGATGACGATCCGCCCATAATAGAAGAATTGGAACAGTCTGCTTGAAAAGGGCTCTGGAGTGCACGCCGCCTCTGCGATTTATGTACGAAACCACAGACATATTGTTGGTGTGAATCAGCACATGTTGCTGTTCCAGCTGTGCCAGAAAAGTCACTAGGGCTAAGGACACTGCTTTCAGTTCCAAGCGGTTTATGCGCCACCTGCTCTGAGACTCTAACCACAAGCCTGAAGTCGGTACGCCCTCGCATACTGCTCCCCAGCTTGAGGTCGACGTATCTGTTGTAACCACAGTGTGTGCTGTCACCAGTCCCAGGAGAACCCCTCGGCTGAACATTTCTGGGTCGTGCCACGGTCTCAGAGCGCTGACGCAGCTGTGTGTGACTATGATGTGCATATGACCTGTGGTCCATGCTCTCCATGGAACTCAAGTTTTCAGCCGCATGTGCAGAAGACCCAGATGGCAAACTGATGAGGCCAACACCATAAGTCCCAGAAGCCTCTGAAATTCCCTCAAGGGAACAGACGGTCCATTCTGAAGCAGTGCAGAGCTGATGAAATGGTCGTTATGCACTCTATAGAGAGTCGAAACACACACCCAGATATGCTATAGATCATGCTATCATGCTCAGCACCCAGCGCGAAATGCCTGGTATAGCTATCCACGCATCTAGGAACTGACATAGCGGCCGAGTCTCTCTGGGCACTATCGCTGGCAGCGATGTTCGTAGACTGGCGTCCTGCCGCGGTGAAACTAAATGCACTGGTGGGGAAACAGTTTGTGGTCGGACAACACTGGGAGGTCTGCTGTCACGGTGGGGGCTCCTCCTCTGTCCGTGACACCTTTTCCCGGGTACCGTCCACTGCTTGCGGCAAACATCCGGCTCATGTCAAGGAGCCACGGAGGACGTGGGTTGCAGAAGAGGAGTGTGATCTTAACAGTGGATGGAACGCGCGCAGGGGCATCAGGTGACTCATCACCTTCATGCGCTTTTGCGCCTCAGAGAAGTGCTCGATAACCGACTCCACAGTGTCACCATAGAGACAAGAGGGAGTGATCAGAGTGTTGAGGAGCGCCTTATGGTCAGATTCCTTCAGGTCAGATAGGGTCAGCCATAGGTGCCTGTGAAGGACTAACATGAACTCCATGGAACGACCGATGGCTTGAGCAGAGCACTTTGTTGCCATCAGCGTGAAGTCAAGCATACTCCTGGCAGGTTCCTCTGGAGCATCCCAGTTGAGGTCGAGTTCCTTAACAGCTTTCGCGAGGACCCTGGCGAAATCCTCCTGGAGGTCTGGGGGCCCTCAGTGTTGGGGCGAACCCTTTTCTGATGCTGAGACATGAAGTCTTCGTCTTGCTCAGGGTTTCCAAATTAAACGACGTCCGCAAAGGCCGGGGGAGGGGGGATGTGTTGGCCAGTCCTTTTCGTCAGCCAAAGGACTGGCCTGCAGGCTTGTCAGTATTTGAATGTGATTTGCATAATTAACAACAATTGGCCAGTTTATTGTATTAGTGTAAGGATTTTCAGGGAAGGGGAGGAGTTCCCACTGTGAATGCTTCACAACGTAGAGTGAATGCTCGAAAGGGAACGCATGATTTTAGCACGATAGACATGATAATCAAAACTAAACAAAGTATCTGAGGTACGAGGTGTAAAGGCACAGCCCTATCCTGTAACAGTATCCTGTATCAGTAATAACAGTGCCTCTAAGATTGTTACTGTACTAACTAATGAACATATACGTTATTTCAGTGTCAACCAAAACAGACATTAAAGTGATACTCAAAATACCCAAAAATGAAAAATCTCTCATCATTTACTCACCCTCATGTTGTCTAAGATGTACATGGATTTCTTTTTCAAATAAACACAAAAATAAAGTCCATATAAGTCACTCTGAGTCCATATAACCTTAAGTGGACTGGATCCTCAAAGTTGACACTTTAAAAAATGTGCAAAACAAACATGAAAGTAAACCGTAAGACCTCAGTTGTGTGTGGAAAAAATACTAATATTTTCAACTTACACACCTCTATAAACTATCACTTCTGGCCAACTGTCTTATGTACGTGTGATGTAAGCACAGTGCTAAATTTGTTCAAGTAGTGACGGTCCTCTGTGCTTCCATGGTGTCACACAAAAATATAGTTACACTTCAGAAGACATCGATTCATCAACTGGGGTCTTATGGACTACCGTTCCATTTGTTCTGTGTGGTTTGTGAAGTGTCAGCTTTGAGGGTCCCATCCACTTGCATTATATAGACTCAAAAAGGTGGATTATTTTTCTGAAAATCTCTGTTTGTGTTCATCTTAAAAAAGAAAGACATGTATGTAATGAAAGACATATGGGACAGCATGATGGTAAGAGAATTTTTATTTTTGGGTGGAGCATTCCTTTAATAAAATCAAACCCTATTATACTATTATACTCCTTAAAATTCAACACTTGATCAAAGAGCATGTCAAGCTTGTCAAAGCAGAACCAAGTTTACTTGTCTCTGGCCACCTTGTGTTGATCTCTATGTGACATACTCTCAGCCGATGCTGTCAGAATAGAAAAACAGCCAGCATCCTATTTCCCACATCAGTTTGTACTTGTGCTGTAAATCTAGCTCCCTGTAATGCTTGTAATGTAATACAGGGCGATCCTGTTCACCAGCAGACCTGGACACCTATAACCCAGCCAGTTGTCTCTCTACCTCTGATGTTGGTCAGCTTGGTCCCGAGTTCCTGCCCTTAGGGAGCTTGTCTGTCTAGAACTTGAGCTGACAGCCGGTAGCCAAAGGAAATCAGAGAGCGTGCATGGGATAGACCTGGATAGAGTTATGTGCGGGTGAGATGGGCCTCAGAAAGGAATACAGCGAAACCTTACCTTTGACACCCGACTTAATAGTTTTGGATGAAAAATACATGAGCTAAATTTGTGCCAAGCAGAAACTGTGATATGCTAGAATAATTCCATAGAAAACAAGTGTAACTTAATCAAAAACTGGGTGGAATGGTTATCATGTAGTTATTTAATATGAAATCAATTTGAATAATGTTGAAAATTACCCCTTTGAGCCCAATAATCTAAAAGTTTACACAGAAAAACTTCCTGTTCACATTAGCATGATGGTGCTGAGGAAATGACTAGAAGAAGTGCCCAGTCTAACACACTTCCTGTCACTGCAAACTAAGTAATACACCAAAACCTACACACAAAGGCATGAGTGTGTTTTAGTATGAGCATGTGCATAATCTAAACACACAGTAGTTCATGGATCATATCGACTGCAGCGTTGCATTTCACGGCAATGAAATAAGAAAAATACAGACTGAAAAAAAAATTAACTAGACCAAATCCTAAATTTGTTCTACAACCTCAATCACTACAAATAAATCTTTCTAGACCCCTTCTAGCTTGCCTCTCTTGAATATGGGAGCACAGACACAAAGCAGATATATCACAGCATGTGTTCCCGCTGGCATCAGTCTGCCTGGAGTGCTCCCCTTAGAGCCCTGTTTAGTCCTGTGTGGCTGTAAATTCATCCATATGGATGAGATGGCCTCCTGTCGCAGCTGCATCAATGTGGGTCAGGCTGTCATAGAGGTGGCCTAGTTTTTAACTACCTGTGCCACTTTTTTAGTTGGATCTGTCAGAGCTTCAGGGTAGGAAGGATCAAGGTGACTGAGACTAATCATTACTTTGTGGTTCCATAAATAAGTTTAGGTGAAATTTTGCATATATCATATATTGACTGCTGCGTCGCATATCATGGTAATGAAATAAGAAAAATACACACTGAAAAAATAACCTACTTGATCTACCTTGTACAGGAAAATATATGAATATATTAATATATTAAAATAACTCTAACATGATGTCAAACCCAAATGACATAGACTACTGATGTCAAATGTAGTCTGCCATAAAATTTGGTACCTAGTCGATACTAAGAGAACAGAACCAATAGAAATATGCTTGGTTTGGAAGATATATGCATCGCTATAGATAGATAGATAGATAGATAGATAGATAGATAGATAGACAGACAGACAGACAGACAGACAGACAGACAGACAGACCTATGCTCTTGCTCACCTCTTCAATGTAGCTCTCCATGAAGAATCCACGAAACATGGCTGCCATCCAATCACAGCTTGAGATGAGCAGTGGCTTATGGGCTGGCAGATATCGGTCGTCCAATCTAAACACCACATCTAAAACCGGGAGGAAAAGATCACACATCTCGGCGTGTGTCACAGAGTCGAGGCTACAGAGGGGGAGACAGGTGGACGGACGAACACAAAGAGACAGACGAAGAGACAGATAGACACACAGACCAATAATAAATAGACAGATTGACAAGGCTAAGGATAAGAAGAAAAATGTGAAGGGAGGGCCAGACTGGGACCATATAGGGGGCAAATTTATTTTAGCAGCAAATCCTTTAAAGACTGACCTGGATGACTCCACGTGTTCACTGTGGCTCACTAATTATGTTAAACAATAAATGATGTTGAATAGGTTTTTTTAGCAGTATACTGTGGGTATCAGGATGGCATGATGTGAAAAAAGCACCTAATTAAATTCAATGCAGATTTCAACTCTACGGGGGGAAGCAAATAGATCTCTAATGATCCAGTTGATAAACTTCTGCATACCCATAGGGAATGTACAAGTAGTCTTCAGGCCACAATGGAGATGAAAAACATTCTGGTTTTCAAACACGAGAGAAGCACCTTCATGGTTGTGTAATGAGATTATGACAATTGCAGATGAAGCAATGAAATAAACAGGTGTAAGTGGAGAGTACAGGAGTGTTGAAAAAGGTTAATTATGACAAACATGCAAACAACACGCAAGACGTGACAACAACAGAGAGTACGCGACAGAAAACCACAAAGCAGAAAAGCAAACACAATATGCAAATATTCACTAACACCAATGAAGTGATATTATAAAGCACTCCACTTGGTATTTCCTTAAAAAAACAAAGAGACTGAATGAAGGAAAGGAAAAACAAATTGTGTAAACTGACTGTTCTAGAGTATGAACTATTCTATTCCAATTCCACTGAATTGAAAATAGAACTTATGAGACTCAAGTTAATGGTGTCACTAAGAAAACTTTTTGAATGTGACACGCTGACAAGTAATGGGAATTAGCTACCCAATAACACCAGAACGTCCTGAGGAATCTGCACTATACAAATTAGGACAGTTAACTAGTCAAAAAAATCAATGAGAACTGTCCATTTATTGTTTATCATTCTCTCATCAACAGCAGTTTTTAAGTTGCTTGTTAAAGGTTATTATTATTGGAGAAAAGGTTTGATTCAGTTTCTCAGTGTAAAAGGATAGAACATTGAGCAGGATAATTTATCAGGATACAATAATTAAAATTTGCCAGGACATTTGGGACACAAAATGATATGAACCGAGTTTCCTTGTATGCATTGTGTTCTGGTTGTTAAAAAAGTTTTTGTTTGACTCTGTCAAGTATGAATTTAATCTAGCATTGACAATATTACAATATAGATAGACAGATAGATCCTTCATTAATGCTTCTTCACATACAGTAGATATATGTAATATGTAATGTTTGACCCTGATTTCAGATTGCCTACCAGCAAAGGTGCCCTTGCTCAGGCACTCTTTGATGCGGTTGGCACGACGCACATGGAAGGCTTTGGTGATCTCCTGGTTCATGAAGCTCTCACGGTTCAGCACATTGGCCACCATCATACGCAGGTCAAAGACCTCCAGAAGCTCAGCGATGGTGGCCACCTGCATCAGGTCCCCACGTGTCTCATCCAGGTGACCCGTATAAAGGTACTGCAGCACTGCCTGAAAAAGCAGAGAGAAGGGATAACAGATAATGACACTGCCATTGATATTTCATAGATATATCAAGTGAGATTCTTATAAAACATACTATATATTGCTATAGATTGTGTCACTTAAGTTTGTTCTTACCTGGAAAGGCCCTTTCTGAATGAGATCATCCATTGACACAACTGTCATGAGTCTCGGCCGACCTGTCACAGGGTCATCCACGATTTCCAAGTACACCCCCAAGAAACCACGCCCCCATCCCAAAAGAGCACGGCCTGCTCCCAGGGGTCCCATAGAGCATTGGCCACTGGCAGGCAGAGCGTTATCGCTCTGTGAAGTCCTCAGTGAGCCCTGCTGCAACATGAGCAGCCTATTGGAACCCCTGGTGCCCCCTTCACCCTCCTTATCAATGTCCAGGCTCTTGGTACGCCCAGCCTGTTCTTTGGCTCCTCTTCGGCTCTGCTCCTCTTCTTCACTCCCCTCTGAGCTTTCCTCACCCTCTTTCTCCATCCCTACCGATCCAAGATCCATAGTGAAAAGGTCATAGAACTTTGAGCAGGAAGTGGCCAGGTACACCTTATGGGCAAAGACACAAGTGGTCCCAGCCTGGAGTAGAAACAGAACATCTGCACACAATGGCTGGCAGAAAAGAGAGTCTGGACCTTCTCCATCCATGGGAGGAGGATCAGGGATGCCCACCATAGGTCGTGGTGGTCTGGGAGGGAGGAACGGTGCCTGGAGTAGGGGACGCTGAACCTTTTTTAGATGGGACTTCCAGAACTGAAGGTGGCGTCGGGAGATGAGTGCAGCACGGATAGCATTGTCAAACACATCCTTTACACCGAACTGAGCGACAATACTTGTTTCGTAGTATGGAATGCCAAGTTCCTTAGCAACCTCGTGGCCTCGTTCTGGGGGAAGGATGTCTGTGGGTTTGATGGTTCTAGGAGGAGAGGGTTAAAGAAAAGCAGAAGCATTGTTAAAGCCAGGCAAAATATATACACTACCATTCAAAAGTCTCATTCTTTCAAATTTCAATAATTATTTAACAAACTATAAAAACAGCAGCAACAACATGCCACTGGGAGACTTTTGTCCCAATTCGGTGGGTCCAACTTTACCTTTTCACCTCAAAATAAAAACAATTCACAGAATTTTTTTTTAATCTTTATATATTAAAGGAGGTTACAAGCCCTCAAAGGCAAGTGCAGAAAATGCATAACTGACTACAAATGTATAAAGGCATACAATAACCCTCTCTAAACGGAAGCTCCTGAACACTTTTCATACTGAAGTTTAACAACAGAATATGGGATATGAGTGGGTGTAGGATGTGGTCCGTACTTGGCCAGAGGCCGGCGAGCCCGGTTAACAGCATCCAGATCAGCATAGCGAAGGTCCAGCTGGCAGCCCACCAGGATGATCGGGGTGCGGGGGCAGAAGTGCTTAATCTCAGGGAACCACATGGTGCGGACATGGCGCAGGGAGTTCGGATTGGCCAAAGAGAAGCACAGCACTACTACATCTGATCTAAACACACAAAGAGAAAGAAATCGGTTTATTTTAAGAGAATACATCCGAAGAAATCATGTAATAGGCAGGAAATTGGCAAACCCTGGACACTAATCATCCTACACAGAGGCTTTAAAATGGACAGTGAATCACTGTTATTGGAATAAAAACTGTGAAATGCAACAAACAAAAATACTGTGAGCTACTAAGTCTTTTCTTTGCTTTCAAAATGTCATAAGACCAGACATATTATTTTTTTCCATACACAAGTGTTACTTATGGCACTACTGTACACCAAAGTCATATTTATTTACCATTATTTTAGTTACGTCTTTTACATTCAGTCATAATGGGATTTTTGAATAGATTCAAAGATCACAGCTCACTAATCATAATCAAGCTCACTAATCATAGTCTTTTGTGAAATGAAAATCGCTGTAAGACCATTTTTCCAGAGGCATGAACAAACTTCATAAAGAATTGTGTGTGTATTAATCAGTGTGTTCTCTTCCTGTGAATGTGTGAGCACGCAAGGTGTTATGCAAGTCATTAAAGCATCTCGTCTGACTCTAACCAGCACTGGTCTAATAATAGCGAGTTGTCCGACCATGTCATATTTCACAGCTGCACTCATAAGCTCATCATGTGACACCAGCATACACAAGAATGACTAATGGAGCACCGCATTGTTGTTGTAATGTAAACAGACTTGGTCTAGCAGATTTCATCACAGTTATGCATTTACACTGGAAAGTGCTTCTGTGCATGTTTACAGATATAATATGACAGCCAATGTTTCTCAGACATTTCTAAGATATTTTCTAAAGATATAATCTGTTTAGAAAATACTTATTGACACCCAAGAGTGAAAATTTAGGGATTTTCTTTAAAAAGTTGCTTTATTATTGGCAAACACCTCATGTGTGATGATTAAACAAAGGAATTTCCCTGAAAACATAACATTACCAAAGTTGACAATCATAACATGTTTACTTCCTTTGGAAATACATAATTTTTTACATGCATGGTATGTTGACATTGCAATGGGATTGCCCATAAATGAGCTTGATGGACTAAAGGCCCATTCCATTGTTTTTATCATCTAGGGAAAAAAAACATTATGAAAGTGTTTCAAATGATATCGTTGCTCTAGTTGTGATGTGGAATCTGATATTCTTTTAAATTTAGAACAATTTTTAAAATTATATCTTTATTATAATGGTTATCATGCTTTATGTGAATGGGCCTTAAGTCTCTTTACTAAACTAAGACACACTAATATATATGTGCAAATGGCTAACAACCCAGTGTCTGTTTCTATTAGTGTACACATGTGTATGTTAAACAGGGGAATGTTTGCAAGAATATGTGGAAATGGGTCAGAGATAAGGCAAATAAAATACAAAACACACACAGACTAACACATCTACAGATCTATCCACAATCATTCACCATCTCTCAGTGAATAATAACCACGTGTGCTGTAAAAGCGAGTGTTGAGGGTCATAAAGGACTGTGTTATGTAATCAGTATGTGTGGTGTTCTGTAGAGCTATGTAGAGCATGTCTAAGTTCAAACTCCTGACTGTGTCTGCTTGACTACACTGTAAACACAGTCTTGATCACAGATACATATTTAAACATAAATCAACCTAAACATTCTGAGAACAACAAAACAAAACAAAAACCGTAGTACAATGATGGTATCAGTTGGATATAACATAGTACTTTACCATCGATGATATACTAATCTGTTCAAAATTACTTTTTTTGTATATATGCATTTATGATTGCATATGTTTATGTATAAATATGTGTTAGCCCATGGAGGAGGGCTTCCCCACTGAGGCATGGTTCCGCCAGAAATTTCTAAATGTTTGGATCCTTTCACTTGCACTTCACAATGTGTTTTGCCAATTTTTGTTCACAAATAATTAATAGACTCAGCTAGGCTTTGATAAACATTTTCAAGAAATGTTAAATGTGTCTGTGTGGATGTGTATTTAGCTTAAGTAATAGACCCCAGCGGTGAAGGTCACCTGATTTTATGTTTCCATAACAGGGCACCACCATTAATAGTGCTTTATCAGCTGACTGCATCTGCCTCAGTACTGTGCACACACTGGCGTGTCTGATCTCACAGACACACATCCTGTGGATTCATTCACTCAGATTTCATCTGCTCTCCTTCTCTCTGTCTGCTACACAAGTACATACTAAAAACACACCACATTCACAATGCTATTATATTGTTAAATTATTGGATGAATTATATAATCAAAACCTTAGTCTACTCAGTACACTACTGTTCAAAAGTTTGGGGTCAGTAAGACATTTTTTTGACAGAAATGAATAGGCTACTTTTATTCAGCAAGGATGCAATAAATTGATCAAAAGTGACAGTAAAGACATTTATAATGTCACACAAGATTTTTATTTCAAATAAATGCTGTGCATTTGAACTTTATATTCATCAAAAGATCAAAAGCTCATCAAACCACAAATTTCTAAAATTGTTTTCAACAATGATGATAATAAGAAATGCTTCTCAAGCAGCAAATTAGCATATTAGAATGATTTCTGAAGGACTGGAGTAGAGACTGTTTTGTTTTGTTTAAAAAAAACAACATTAAAAAATCTTACTGTCTGCAGTCCTTTAAATGGTAGTTTATCTGATGTGGGTACTTTGTGTGGTCAAAGATCTGAGCTGGTAACAAAAGACCACAGGTTCAGTCCCAGTTTGTTTTCTCAGAAAACAAATTAGCATTTACTGAAAAACCCAAATATGACTGAGAAAAATGTGGGAAACTGTTCTCATACATCTGTAAAAAATTATTAAAAATTAGCACAATTTGTTTGCAAATGCTATATTGTTTGATATTGTGTATTTAATGCTACAAAATTCCTATATTTGAAGTGTGACTTAGATGGTCAAATACTTCTTGGCTCAATGGCTATTGTGATCTGCTGCACTGCCCTGAGCCAAAGCACCACTGCTGATCCACTGATCCTCTACTGCACCGAGAATAAGAGCCTCCATGCAGTGCTCTTTGGCTAGGCTAACAGCACATTACCTTCCCAGCTGGGAGGATTAGGGCAATAACCAAAACTTGGAAGGGCAACACATGCCACAGCCAAGAGTGGAGAGATACCAGAACAATCAAATGGAAGATTGATCTGAGCAACTCTATTGTGGGACATCAAGTGTGTTTGTATCAAGGGGTTTAGTGCCATGGCCTAACGGTTAACACGCACATGTCATGAGACACTGAGCACTACGAGTTCAAATCCAGCTCCATATTGTGTAACTGACCTGCCATAAGCGAAGCGTCTGTCTTTGTGATGATCTCCAAATGTGTCCCACAGCCTGAGGGAGACACTGACCTCGTCCACCACGTCTCGTGACCTCTCCAGCACCTATTCAAAATACTTTTGTTTAATTGTACCAGTACACCAATGCAAACACCTTATATTCATATTACTCTCTCTGCAATGTATTTAAATGTAATACTAAGTAAATTGTAGTTTGTTTGTTTGTTTTTTCATTTGCAATGATGGCCTGGTAAAGCTAAAATTACAGCAAATGTTTTATTTTTGAATTTTATTTATTGCATTCAAATATTTTATTAGTATACTTTATTTTATATTTATATTAATTGCTTACTAATATATATATATATATATATATATATATATATATATATATATATATATATACACACACACACT